CCCCAAAACCCCAAAACCCCAAAACCCCAGCACGGTATATAAGGCAAAATTAAAGGAAGTAAAATGATTAAGTTCAAATTATTAGATTTTATCATTCCTCAACTGCTTCAAGTTCATGAAGGTATTTCTTGAAGTAGTTTGCGATTTTTTCAATGTCCTCATTGGTAGAGGATTGATTAAAGCTTGGTGCTGGATATGAGTCAATAACTTTTCCAAAGATGTTCTCAGTGATAAATCCATACTTGAAGTCGGAGATGAGGCCATCTAGCTTTACATTTTCAAAGGTAAAGTCAGTGCAGGGATTGGTCTCATTGCATCTAATGACACCTGGTAGAAGTCCTCCCACTGAGTGAACATTTCTAAGAGTTATGTTCCTCATCGTGATTCTAGGTTGAGTCTCACATTCTTTAATAATAGGGTAAATCATACATCCTGGGCCACCACCATCTGGTTACTTTTGTTGTTGGGGTCCAATATAGATATTCCACCAAATTGGCTCAAAGATTTTCAAGTTTTCATACAGAATATTCTCAATAATGCCATCACCATTATTGCCTGGATTTGACTTAATGTAAACAGCTTTGAATGGGAACCAGAATTCCACATTCTTGAATGTTACATTTCTGACGCAAGCATGATTGGTGTTAGGTGGTACAGATCCAATAGTCATTCCAACTCCCATCCATGTAGTGAGGTTCTCAGCCCAGATGTTTTCAGAGCATTTAGCAATCTAAAATCCACTGTTGGCTGGCTTGACTGCAATAGAGTCATCATAACTGGTGATATTTACGTTTCTAATAAGAATGTTGCTTCCTGCTGGATCAATTCCATCAGTATTCAATGGGAAAGTTGGGATGCCAAGTTTAAAGTTAAACCTTCCGTACTTGATAGCAAGTTTCTTTTGTTCTAGGACATCAACTCTGATTTCTAAGTTTTGGATAAGGAAGTTGTTTATATCATTTAGCTCCATGTGGTATCTTGGTGAGTTTCTGAACTTAACTCCCTCGATAATGCAGTTTTGTACTCTTCTCATTCCAAGAATCTAAGGTCTGCCGAACTTGTTGGCTACAATGTATTCTCTCATCCACCACCAATATCCTTGGCCATCAATAGTTCCTTTTCCTCTGATGTGAATGTCTTCTGAATCTTAAATGTAGAGGAAATCGTTTGTAGTATGACCATCATTTGGCCAACTCTTGTCATCATCAGAAAGGTATACATATCCATCAATTGTGAAAGTGATGTTTTTCAAGTGATTGAGCTAGGTTGGCATTAATGTGAAAACCATGTTTCCCTCACTTGGAATATAGACCTCTCTGTCAGTTTCAGAGCTGTTTGCTGCTATCACTGCATCCAAAAAGGCTTAGGCATTCTTAAACGCAGTTGCAGTGTCAGATTGATTATGGATAGCTCCATGATCAATGATATTGTGTCTAGCATCCACGTAGCTAGCAATGCCCAAGAGTGAAATCAAGGGTAACAGGATCCTTCTCATAATTAATATTATTATATTAGGTTTTAGATTTATAGTTCTATTAATAAATCAGAATTCTATTGATTATATATTTTATCTTAATAGAGCAATTCCCCTACCAAATTTACGTCATGGGGTTTTGGGGTTTTGGGGTTTTGGGG